ACGTCATCGTTTGAAGCTCTTCTGTATCATTTTTTGATTATCGCTCCTTCCGCGGTCTTGGCGTTTTTTCCCCTCTGTTTGCGGTGAATTCCCGTTCAGGCCTCCTTGTGACCTTTCTCATCTTTTTACGACATTATTATTTTGCCTTGGTACTGCTGTTTTCTTGTGCTCATAGGCGCACAAAGGCGCATAGTGGCCATGGACCTCGGCCATGCTAGGCGCAGTGCACGAAGGGCCTAAGCCTCTATTTTGCCTGTTGGTCGACATCGGGTGAATACCCGCTGGACGACGGCGCCGACGCTTTAACCGACCATGGGTGCTAACAAAGGCCCAGGTTGGGGTAGCAGTATGCCAGCATCCGCCGTTCTCAAAGCAAAACGGCATTGCTCCCGTTATCTCCATGTTTCAAAAACGGCTGCCCTTTTTTCACGCTAAACATTGGGCATGTCAGCCGCTCAGGCATCCAAGGTTTAAGGAAAATCAGAGGATTACATAAGAAAGTACGAGATGTTCACATGTTTAGAAATCCTCATTCATTGATCCGTTGTGATCACTCTTTTGCTCGCACTTTGACCTAACCCTTAGGGTACTGTACGCCCCGCCCCTCCCTCTCCCCTCCTATAAAGGTCCTGCTTTTGGGGGTTGCTCACCACTCGACAGTCTCGTCTGTTCGTGCTACCGTATATTTCCTGTGATAGGTGTTCGTCACGACGACTACGCGAAGCCAAAGCCAACCCGCTACGGGAACCGTGTCGGTTTCAGGATCGGTGTCCCCGCCATCCCTTCCCCTTATCGAGAAAATGTAAACGGTAGAGATCCGTGGGAGGTCGGAGCTGATGCTCCTTATTGTGAGCTTGATCGTTCTGGTGGCGCTAGGACGCCGACCGCTTCTTTGAATGAGTCCCGTTTAGACGACGCAGCAGTTCTCCATGCAAAGGACGCGAAGCTTCTCCGGGAGGCCACTTCAGCCGTCATCACCCAGGTCTGGAAAGTTGCTAGGTGGCAGACGGCGGCTCTAGCCCAAAAAATTAACGAAGGCAATGCGTCGTGTTTCCTAAGTTGAACGAGTCCTTTTCTGCGGTTGGTAGTCGCCTTGATTCCCTGCCTTCGTAACTATGATGGGACTGGAGTTCCAGACTCCCAAGGTGGATCTTTTCTCGCTTCCACTGAGGAGGTTATGCAATTTTCGGTCTGGCCAAGTCGACTCGACGATATCATCCGCATGCGCCCGTCTCCTCTCCCCAGTGAACAAAGGGCTAATTTCCTCATAAGTCACTTGGACGGGGTGGCACCGGAGAAGGTCGAGGAGCTGGGCGAGGACACGCGTAAAGACTTCGACTTGGTCGCTTAGGAGCTCCTTTGAAAAGACTTTTCCTCAGCAAAGGTATGTGACCCTTTAGATACTTTCTGCCTGTAGGCAGGAGCCATCTTAACTGTCGTCGTCGTTTGCGAACAGGGTTCTCAACCTGGTGAGAGCTGTGGGTCAAGACCCCGTAACTCAGAAGGAACGCGTATCGGAAGAAATCGTGTCGCGTCCCCGAGGAGACATCAGGTATTTCACAACGCTAGACAATCCCTCTACCTTAGAGCAGGCCATCACCAAGGCGCAGATGGTGGAGCAGCTTTTGTCCGAAGCTACGGCGGATCGTCTTATCCATCCTGGTCGCCCAGAGCTGGTCGTTAATGCTTTCGACAGTAGGGTAAGTGGCCGAGAAAGACTGCTCAATAGATCAAACCCTCAAGGTAATTCTCGGAATTACAATCGCCTCGATTTCAGGCGCGCAACCCGCCAGCGGCGCCTCCGCCCCCCCCCCAGACTCCGGTCGACCTACACATGGTACTCAAGCGCCTCCCGGTGGACCGCGTGTCAACCCTATCGTACAAGGCTCTAGAGACCTGCCTCAGGTACACGCGAGGTCAGAAACTACTAGAACGCCTGATGTTGGATCGTGATCTATCTATCGACATGTCGGACGCAGAAGGTGATGAGTGCTTGCTCGCGGAGCATGGCATCTCTTAATTGACGCATGACTCGATCGACATCATGTTCCGTGTTCGACCAGCTGTCCTCTGCATCACAACGTCGGCGCTCCTCAACTCGATTGCGGTGGGCGGCATCTTTCATGGCAAGCTGGACAAGTTTACCACAATTATCGGCGACGAGGCTTCTCAAATTCCTCAACCAGCCCTGGTAGCCCTTGCTACCCATCTGCCACAGGCTCGTCACATCTACGTAGCGACGTTCACCAGTTCAAACCCCATGTCAGGTGCCCCCGCACCTCCAACCAGGGTGAATATCGCTTGAGGATTCCTCAACGGCACGTCGAGGATTCTCTGCCAGGTTAGACACGATCTCTCGTGCGGACATTCACACTCGCCATAGGCGTGCCGTCTGTGCCTTCCGCACGGATGTTCACTCTCGGCACTACTCTCACATGGTAGAGAGCTATGGTTGAGGAAATCCTCGACCGTTATTCACCCTGCCTCCAACCCTGCCCGTTTTGGTGCACAAGGCATCACGGTTATTCTGGTCGCTAAGGGCGTTCCGGTAGCTTCCCTCACCACCACTTTCCGGGCTCATCCGCTGCTGAATGACATACCTAACCGCCTATTCTACAACCATGCTCTCATCAGTGTTATCCGCGCAGAAGATCGCCAGATGTTCCTTTCGGCCGTGCGCTGTCCGAAGCCGAAACCGCGGATCGCGCAGCAACGTGGCCAAAGCTGAGGTTTGCAGTCAAACTGTGCTGGCGTTAACAAGGAAGAACATCGCACCATCATCTCTGGCCATCATAGCGTTCTACAAGGAGCAGGTACGCTTACTCGCACAGTTCGCCAACAACAACAACGTCGATTTGCATACAGTCAATTTCGTTCAAGGCAGTGAGAAGGACATCATCCTCCTCAGCACGCGGACAGGCTTCGAGGTTGATCGAGGAAAATTCCTCAACGAACCTTATCGGCTCAACGTCGGCCTCACCAGGTGTAAGCACGGCCAATTTGTTCTGGATTACGAGCAGTCTAATGGGCCTCTCTTACTGAAATGACGTCCTCCTATGGGCCCGTAATCGTTCTGCCATTGTGTCTGCCGCTGCGTTACCGGATCTCATCGACTGACAAACCCCTTTTTCTCTTCTTTGAGACTCAAGGTGAGCATTTCTCTTTTCATTTGTCCTCATTTAAGTCCAAGGACGGACTTTTTTGTAATGGGAGTGTAAGAAAGTGAAAGAGTGCGAGAGTGTTTCCCTTCATTTGATCAGCCGTCTGAACGGGGTTTGCGCTGCGATGTATTTGCACAGTATGGTCAATAGGGTTCTCATGGTCTCGGAGCGTCCATCTTGGAATTGCGAGTCTGCCACAAGCTCGCTGAAGTTGGTGAGAATGAGTTTGTGCAATATAGAGAGCTTGGGGAACAATGACATGGCGTCCAGAGAAAAGGGAGAAGCGACCGACCGAATTTGATGCAACGGTAAAGGAAACAGCCGGCCGTCCAAAGGAGAGAACTGCAGCAGGGTGAAGTTGGCTGACAGGACAAAGGGTGTTACGTCGACGCAGTCGACTCGCGGTCGCAGTGCCCCACTGACCACTACTCCTGTGAAAAGGTTAAGAAAAGCATGCCACAAGGAACCGTTGCGCAGCTGAATTGTAACGGCGAAGCAAGTATTATTGAACGGTCGCAAACTAATAGCAGAAAGGGAAGCCCCAAAACAGCGACGTAATTGTACGAAACTCTTACCGAGGCGAGTGGCGGAGAGGTCGCTGCGACCGATGAGATCCTCATGGTGAGGGTCAGATTCGTCCGTAGGGCCGAATGCAAGGCTATGGCAAGAACGTTTGTGCGTTCACAAAGGACTTGCATCGCATGAAGGACTAAAGCAGCGACAGCATTTTGCACCAAACTTTCCACTGCTGACAGCTGAGCGGACAATTGATTGATCGTGACCAGACCAGCGTCTAAATAACGAGGCACGCGGCGCAGGACCACGATTGCGTAGCCCTGATCAGTGATGACCAGGATAGGGTAAACTACTTGAGCTCGCTTAACAAAGCGTTGCCCATGAGGTAACCAAAAGCAAGCGAAAGGTAAGCAACTCTCCTCTGATATCGAATCAACTAGTACAATGCAATAATCATTTATTCTCTTGCCTCCCTTCTCGGGCTTATTCCTCTTACAAGTAGCCGTCTGCTACGAGATAGCATGTCGGGATGAGAGGTAGGTAGTGTGAGATCATACTGTACTGCCGCGCACTCGAGGCTCCTACCAAGAGGGATATCTCCGCTCAAGGACTGGACTCCGGCCTGTGCCTCCGTCACCCCTTCATCTCCGGGCCGTCCCTCTGGACTCAACGCCTCCGCTGAAGATTCTCGACTGAACTGATCTCGAAGTCAGCATTATTGACACATCTGACTATATTCACGACTAAATTCTCAGAAGCAATCAGGCCGAGGGAGGCGGTTAGCATGCTCATATTACTGTATACAATCGGCACTTATCAAGGGGCACGCCAGATACCAATGCGTTCACTTTATCATTTGACCGCGCGCTAATCAAACCTCCATATTCCCTGCCGAATGGCTGCGGCACATACGATTAAAAAACGGTGACTCCAAAGCCTATAAGAGTAAAGCAAGAGAACAAGCTATGCCTTGGAAGGGAAGGTATTTCTGGGTGTGTGAGCTAGTTGCAGTATAGCGAAAGTTTGACTGTGTGAGATCACAGTGATCATGGATGAGTCTAGGTGAGAGTGAGCAGCCGAGAGCAACGAATTGAGGCGGTTCGAAGGAATCAGTTGAAGGATCACGCCCCAGCTGTGGGGGGCCTCATTTTTGTTATTGTTTTTAGGATGTTCAAAAACGACTAACCGGATACAAGTTCTAGGATGATGAGAAGCGGTTGCTCCTCTACTGCCACTCCATAGATACGTACAATGTTCCTATGCTGAACAAGTATGATTTGGAGAACGCCGCTGATCCGAGAATTCGCTTCAATGAATTTTGGTTTACTCTACCTTGAATAAACGCATTAAACGGGCTTCTTTCATCATTTCCTTGATTTTCGCTTTGTCCAGTTCCGTATGGGACTTTGTCTGTAATAAATATCTGAACTGTATAATTCAGTAAACCCATTACGATAGAAAATCCCTACCAGCTTTATGGCAACAGGGATAGTTTTGCCAGATTTAGTCTTAAGCACTCCCTCTCGCACTAATCCATAAGCTCCTTCTCCTAATACTCTCCCTTGCTGGATATCCGAGTGATAATATTCCCACGACTGCTGTTGAATCGGGTGAAGGAGCATGAATTGAGTCTTGAATTGTGAACACCATGAATAGTAATAGAAAATTCTCCTAATTAATATGGCTTTTGCTCAGGTATTGAAATGCGGTCTCGTAGTTTTTTTGGCTGTCAATTCCAAACTTCAAACGCATTTCAGCCATTCTAACAGATGCTCACAATGTTTTATAGCTTAGCACAAACCTTAGCAAGATGGCCTGGTTTGTGTCCATAATACTTGAAAAGATCTGAGAGAGAGTCAAAAAGGTGCGTGCTTTCCACCATGTACTTCCCATACATTCGCCGGATTATGATATTTTTTATCTGAAAGCTCTTAGCTAAAATTTTTTAAAGAGTAAGTGGTGCAAAAGTGTCTTGAGGGAGGAGAGCGAAGCGGATATTTCCACCATATACTTCATCTTCAAGTAGCTGCGCAATGTGCACAATGACATCATAAAAAGCTACTATTACTATCCTTAATAAGAACTCTGTTTCATTTCACTCATAAGTTTATTAACAAAACCATACAAAAACCAATGAATGCGTATTCAGCAGACGCTCTCGATCAGTTCTCTCTGCAACCGTGCCCTCATCCCAGGCTTCATTGACTCTACCAGCAGATACAGAAGCATTCAACTTGCACTCATGCAGCAGCGGCAATCATTTTGCTAGTGCGCCATAGTGAAGTAAATACACAAGTGTTGTACATCAAAATGTACAAGAGATTGAGCGCTTCCGGACTACACAGAGTTCAGCTGCGCACGCTACCGCGCGCATCATACCGAAAGTTCGGACGATACTGGAAGTCGGTGGAGCGTTAGGTCTACCAGTGAGAAGTAAGCTGCATAGTGAATTGCGTTAGCTCTCTCCGCTTGATACGCGCGGATATGGAGCTAAACTGGTGTCCGTAAAACAACCACCATGCATCAAATGTCAGAATAATTTGGCGGTCCAAGAACATTTGATGCTAATGAATTTGATATGATAGAAGATGATCCTAAGGCCGCGTTGATAGCTCGCGACTCCGGAGATTAGGATAGGGCGCGACAATATAAACGATATGTATTGACGGGGAGATTAGGATAGTAGTAGAGTAGGATAGTGCGCTGACAGGATTAGATACGTATCGACTGAAATCGCCGGAGAGTAGGATATTACGATATTACGATAGTAGGATAGTAGTACAGTAGGAGATTAGGATAGTAGGAGAGTAGGATAGGAGGATAGTGGGAGATTCCGCTTATCACATAAAATACACATCGATCAGGATATCAGGATAGTAGGATAGTAGTAGAGTACGAGATTAGGATAGAACATATCAGATACATATTGACTGAAATCGCTCGCGAGTAGGACATTAAGCGACCAGTGTTGATTTATAAAAGTTGGCATTGTTTCCGAATTTTGGGCTAAACTAGCTTGTTTCTTGACTCAACGTTGTGTTTTCGTGTTTTTTGTCTCTCCTTAATGATTAAACTAACATTTTGTTTCCTTGTGAACATTTACATAAATCATAAATTATCTAGAGCTCAATTTGCACCGGCGCTCATGTCCTTGGAAGGGGGGGGGGTGTGGGGAATCCCAGTGAGTGAGCCAATTACTGTACTTGGTACTGAGCCTTAGGCAGGGGAAGGGTTTTTATGGGAAGATGCAAGCAACACCTTCCTGGTTCTTGAGTTGGATGAAGAAATTAAAAAATCAATACCTACACGTTAAAATAGCTGCGAGTCATCAACACCCACGTAAGACACGTGGCTACCGATCAGAAGGAGTCTGTTGGATTTCACAGGTAATCATTTGTGACCTAAGCTAGAAAAGAACTCAAGAAAAGAAAGTAAAATGCAAAAGAAAGGTAAGCAGGAAAAGAAAATAGGCATAATAGGAGTATTAAGGAATACTAGGAAGTGGAGCGGCCGAATGATTTTATGGGTTAGGGATGACAACGCAAAGAAATGGTATTGAAATAAAAAGCGTTATTCCGAATCTAGTTTCGAGTGACCTCTATGTTCATACGCATCGTTGTTAGCAGTTCTTATCGGCCATTATCCCTTTCTGTCCCCCACCGAATATGTTCCGTCCCACCCTCTACATCATACTTAAAATGCAGCGCTCTATGGGTGAGGTCAGTGAGGTGCGCAATGGATTTCGTGACAAATAGACGCACCACACATAACTACTTGGCGAAATATATACCCTGCGGTTGCAAAAAGATAAATCCACCTGGAAAGTTCTTGAAAATTCGCATGATAGGGTGTTTCTGAAAACGCTTCGAAGAAAAATGTTCCAATATAAATATAATTTCGAGTGTAAACACCCACTTCCATTTCGAAAACACGAAAATTTTTGTTTCCATTTTTCCAGAAAAGGGCCACTTTGCCGATTGTGCAAAAACACAAATCCATCCCATGTTTCTCGTTGAACTTCATTGTTATTTGGCCTAACTGTCAGGTTGTTTGCACTTCCTCTTTCTTAGGTGATGACGCAAGTAACACGCTATCAAGCTCCGAAAAAAGGCGAAATCTGCAAAACGTGGGGAGATTTGCCATGCAGACAGACGCGCGTGATTTGCGCGTGGTTGTTGAGCAGTTCGTCAAGAATCCTGCAGCATGTGGAATTCCAGAAGAGCATTGAAGCCCTTTCCTTCGCGTCTTCCAGTTGCGATGCCCGAGTGTTGTGGGAAAAGCAGCCGATTCTTCCAAGGGTGCTCAATAACCTCAACCTTCAAAAACCTAATTTCTTGAAAGACACCGTTAATTTTTTTTTTTTTTTTTTTTTTTTTTTTTTTTTTTTTTTTTTTTTTTTTTTTTTTTTTTTTTTTTTTTTTTTTTTTTTTTTTTTTTTTTTTTTTTTTTTTTTTTTTTTTTTTTTTTTTTTTTTTTTTTATTTTTTTTTTTTTTTTTTTTTTTTTTTTTTTTTTTTTTTTATTTTTTTTTTTTTTTTTTGGGCGCTGTTTAGAAGAACTCTGAGACCACTCTTTTCGCCGGAAAATGAGTATGGCACGGTTTGAAGACACAAAGCCGCCCAAAATCAAAGCGCAACTCTTTCATAAATGTGTTGCATTGCTGCGCTAGCTGCGCATTAGGTTCGACTTTCTCAACAGCGCTACTTTTTACTGTCTGAATTTCCCATCGCTTTCTTTTTCTTGCATTGGTTTGCCAGAGACAGGAACTCACGATTGAAAAAGGAAATCAGTAATGAAAAGTGTAGACAGCGCTATCAAAAGGTAATAGGCCAATATGCCTCGCTTAGATCGACACTGGTCTTGGAAACTTGCTTGAATTTCTCGATGATTCGCATTTTCAATGTGTCCTACTCATTTTCCCGTTGAACGCAGGTGGTCTCAGAGTTACTCTAACACACGCCAACGGTGTTTTAAAAAAAATAGGTTTTTGAAGGTTGAGTTCCTGAGCACCCCTTGGGAGAATCGGCTGCTTTTCCCATAACAATACGGTCATCGCAACTGAAACGCAGAGAAAAGGGTTCAATGCTCTTCTGGATTCCACTGCAGATGCCGCACGATGGATGCTGCAGAGTTCCTGACGAAATGCTTGACAACCACGTTAACGGGGCTCAAATCAAGCGCGATTCGACTGCACAGCAAATCTCCCCACTAATTTGTAGACTTTGCTTTTTTTTAGCCCTACAGCGGTGTTACTTCCGTCATCACCTAAGAAAGAGGGAGTGGAAGCAACTTGACAGTTACGTTAAATGACAATGAAGTTTAACAGGGATGGATTTATATTTCTGCGCAATCGGCAAAGTGGCCCTTTTCTGAAAAATGGAAATGAAAAATTTTCGTGTATTCGAAATGGAAGTTGGTGTTTACACTCGAAATTATATTCATATTAAGCACATTTTTCTTTTAAATGCTTTTTCAGAAACACCCTATCATGCGAATTTTCAAGAACATTCAGGTGGATTTATATTTTTGCAACGCAGTGTATAGCAGGATCATGACCTTCGAGACTAATCAAGGAAAAATGAAAGAACTATGAGCTAAAAAACGGCGGGTAAATACTGCTCAACCTAATAATTCCCAATGGGCTGCCTTCATTTCATCGTAAATTCACCCCTTAGGATTGGATGGACACTAGGATTATCTTACCCGGTGTTCAACCCTCCTGGGCTAAGCCTGGGATGGGACGAACTCCGGGTATACGGCAAAAGTAAAAAGATAATCCGAATCTGTAAACATCCTACTATATATATTGGGTTGACACAAAATTTCTGGACGAATTCCAACACTTTGATTTATTCAAGTTTTATCTCTCCTAAAGAACAATTGATCAAATAATATATAACCACCATCATTATCAATAATATGCACCCATTTGCCAGGGAATAAATGGATGTTTTCCCTAGAACGAGAGAAGCTGTAAGATGAAAAGCTCGAAGAGGGCGTTTCTGAGGTGATTGTATTTACTGACTTTTTCCTCTCCTAGCTGCTGCTTCAGGGGGCTGAGGAGATGATAGTACGATAGAGCAACGTAAGGGCTATACGATAAATGTGGTGTCGTGCTCCAGTCAGTTTCCATCGAAACTTGGCGAGTTATCTTTGCAATGTGATTTTGGGCGGTTCTCCGGATAGAGGAGATTTTGAGTTCTCCCCAACCATCCTCACTCACTGCTGCGGCTAACTCTGAAAGCTATTCCGTGGTTACCTCCGCAATGCTTGATTGCATAAAGTGAAATGGCTCTCAAGACAGGACACAGCGAATCCAACAAAACAGGGTTCACACCCTGTGATGAGACAGCTCTGGTTTTGGTTGATGTGCTGCGTCCAAGCTTTGTGGTAGCCGCCGGGCGAGCCGCGTGTTGTTATCGTAGGGGAGTCATGACTCAACTGCACTGGTGACCAGCCAGGGAATGTCTTGTCTAATGCAGAATGAAACTTCTGCAGATGGTCAGGTGGGCTTGTCCGTCATGGTTGGTCCATGCATGCTGTTTCCATCGAGGTTTCATTCTGCTACAGTCCGTTCCACTCAGGTGTTGACTCATGGAGCGTGGGCTGCGCCCAGATGTTTGCTACAGTTTCCTGCTAATAGCTTCCGGATGCACTTCCTATTCGTAGCGCAAGCGGTCCTCATCAAAAGTGATTAGGAGACCGTGATGAGGTTGAGTTTTGCATCTCCTATCGCCTTTGTGTATGCTATTGAGCCAATAGCTCGGTGCCCGATCAGTAGCAACGAGTGGGGCAAACGTAGCGCTGATCTTGCCTACCGCGTTCCTTGCAAGGTTCTTCTTAAAATTGTCGCAAGCCGAAATCGTTGGATTGGTTGTTGATC